ATAACTTAGTCGATTGTTATAGCAAATATACATTGTTGGATGAGAATTAATTTTAGGAAAGCAAAGATATGTGAAATTCAATGGAAACGTCAGCTCTACTCATATGATTGTGGGAAAATCCTTCATCACCTTGAACCAAATTGGGTGAATTCATCTCATATTACTGGTTTATAATAGATCGCGTTTTTATGTAATCACTATTATTATCATCACTATTCATTATTTATTTGCATCGTAAGTCCAGAGTAGTTGTAGGAATGGTACCGAGTGATGATGTCGACAGAGTGACATGAGCAACCGAACCTGGGCACGATTGCCCCGGAACCGAAGGAGATTGTCTCAAAGACAGCAGCAAACCCACGGCTACAGATAGGCAGGCCGCCATCATTCTATGGACCGTCAAAAAGTTCTCATCACATCCAATCATTCGAAAGGAAATTGACTCAATTGGATATATTCAACTTCAATTTCACCTCGTTCAACAGAGCATACCGAAGAGTTCTAGAATCCATAGTGGCAGCAGCTAATTGGCGACCTTATTTTGGTTGCTATGATCATTTTGTGTGGACTTAGAAGAGTGAGAATCCCAAAAGGAAAGTGGGGCCATCCAGTCCCGTTCAGTTTAGAAGGCGTCAGGTGAACCGAAAAGAAGAAGAAGAGCGGCGTCAAAGTAGGGTTCATACCAGAAGGCCAGGCTGCCCTCTTGCATAACCGACAAAACGGAAGTTGTAAAGGGACGAGAACGAGCCGCAAACTGGGGCGCTAAACGATAAAAACACATTTGCTAGCCACACATCAAATGGAGACAATCAGATTGACGGGGGGAGAGAGAGACTGAAAGATGAGAAAAATGGTATCACAGCTTCGATTCTGTCGGCCAACACGACACACACATGCACATTCACACAACCGCATGTTGCCATGCTAAAGAGGCACACTTTATGCACATTTGTGAAAGTGTACATGTGTGTATTTGTGTGAAATGTTCTCACAAATTCCGCTGGTCTTTTGAATGTGTGGGCATGTGAAGGGGGTGACGAAGAGAAGGCGTGCTCCCAACTTCTCGGCCGGTCGTCCCTTCCGACGGGCACGTCTTGAAGGCTCGGGCTGAGCTGGGCATGTGGGTCTCGAGGTGGGCTGAATCGGGTGTCCAGAGTGCGGAGTTCGTCGATTGCGGAGGCAACGACGCCAATTCACACCCTCGGCTCCGACTCTGCACTCCGGCCCGGTCGGACGAGTGTTTTCCTCCACACTCTGCCCCGATCAGCCTGTACGCCCGGCCCAGCTCTGAGACAACGTTCTCGGAAGGCCCACTTGGACACGGTCTGTGGGGCCAGTGAGTAAATACAATCCACTCCGACTTGTATGTATATGTCCGCCAGTCTGCATGTGTGTGTGTGTGTGTGTGTGTGCTGAGTGTGTAGTTGGACGTACTTGTGTGTCCGGCCGAGGCACACTTGCACTAGGGAGGCACGAGTTTTGCCGGTAATTTATTTCCTCATATCCATTTCGCCAATGTGATGACTACAAAATGCGATTCCAGTCGGGCAGGGGGACAAGGGTAAACAGGATCTATATATGTTTAAGGAGGAAAACGACGACAATTGTTTGTATTGTTCATAGCAACAGCTAGCCAGCCACCCAGCCGGTCAGCTTGGAATTGGAATTAATTTTAACTACTCCTCCGGTTAGGAAACTTTGTCCTAATTGACAAGTGTGTACGCACACAGGCATTCCGCCTCGTGGATAAACATGCAGGACCCGGCCAATTACATGGCAACACACGGGCACCTGTAGAAGAGGCTTTCTTCCCTGCCCCTCCCCGCCTCCCAGGCTGAGCCCCTTGGCGACGCGTAAAATCGCGTCTTTTGTCGGCCGACCCAATCGTTTAAGTGGCACTCAACTCCTCCGTCTGTTCGGCTTGTCTGCAGTTGGGACTCGTCTCTCCGAGACTGGTCATTACGACGTATCCACGGCAGCGGGCGTCGCCGAGCGAATAAACAATCATGACAAGCCTGACACACTGACAGGATGTGTGCCGAGTCGCCTCGTTTCCGGCCAGCCAGACAGACCAGGCCCGAACTGGAGGAGCGTCTTGCCGAGAGGTTACGCATGCGAGGCACAACCGAGCATCCCGGACGCCGGGACTCGAACAAAAGCGACTGGATCCGCCAAAAAGGGCCCAGGCATATCCATTGAACATACATTTTGACATAAGCCGAACTCCAAACCAGAGAGTAGACGTTTAATCACAAACTTGAGAAAAAGTTATATATTGGAGAACTAAATAAAAAGCGTAAAATTGAAACAATCCGTATTAACAACAATAAACTACCAAGTTTTAACTCGAATCCAAACCGAAAAAGGAAAATCTTCCAGAATAGTAAATCACACGATAAATCCAAACCCTGACGAAATAGAAAGCTTAAGCCGAGGCATAAACCTGAACAAAACTCTAAACAACATAATCAACGATGGACCGCCAAAAGAAATCCGCTCTTGTCTGCTGTTGAGAGGGACCTTTGAATCGCATCATCACACGCCTTCAATCAAATTGCAAGTGACAATCATACCGACTGTAGGAAGCAAGTGGATAGCAATTTAATCGCAATGACGCGTTGAGAGTACAAACCTTCTGCTGCCAAAACTGCCAAATTAAGGAACCTTGGAGACGATTCCTAGCCCGTGTTTCACACATACTGATTGGTACAATTGCAAGCCAAATCACAGTTTCAGTAGCATATAACAAGGGCTGGAAGTTTCGACATGAACTTAGTCTTAGCAATACTCCTAACACCAAACCCAACCATAGCTCAAGCCTAGTCGTTAAGGTCACATTATTCATAACCCTAACAGTAACCCAGCAAGTATTTTATGTCATATAACCCATTTGACCTGTAGCAAACTGGAGGAAAAGTTGTATTTTTTTGTTTTTTTTCATGCATATCAAGTCTAAACTCAGGTAGAATGGAAGCCGAGTTCTCACTCCCAGCCGGAAGTGAGACATTTTCCTGCATTTACCAACTCCGATACATGCTACGAACCTGCTTAGATATGCGATGGGAAGACGACGCAAAATAGAGTCGACCCATCTCAATTAGGCTGTTTTTATAGTGGCAGAAGCTGCCGCTGCAAAAGACAATGGGGCTAAAGCAACCGATCTATCATCAGTCCTTTATGATTCTGAGATGATGGAAATCCTGAAACCGTCTTTCAACACAAGTGCTCTAAAAAATAATATATTAAAGAGTGAATATCCAGAAGCATATATTAACTAAGCGATGGAAACGGAAAGGATCAAGAGAATCATAGCATATCAAAAACCCATAAATAGAAAATTGCAATCATAGTTACTAAACAAAGGTTGGAGTTTTAGAATCTATGATTATTCAGAGCCGATAGAGACCATTGTGCTAATGAACTGGATTTGCTTGAAATAATATTTTTTGAGAATAATTATCCCCTAGACTTGATTGAAATGGTGCATGCGTGAGACCTTGTCTCATGTTTTCTATTTGCCCTCGTGCATTCTCACTAAAAGGGAAGATGAACATGTGAGACAATGGGGAATAGCAACCGTTTTCGGAGAAACTGCGACAGCTTCTTCAGTTATGCCCACTTTTAGAGGACATCCAGATCGGGTTGCTACAGGATAATGTGTTCATGTGGTCGCTTTTATGTTGGAGACATACAAGTACAAGCGATAATAACTGTCGATACTTTTTACTACATTACAAAATGTTAACCTATAACTTTATATGACCCATTGTGATTTTATTTCGTAATTTATCCCCTTAGCTTTTTGACTGGCGAATACGTATAAGAGATAAGGAGACCTTTTCTCATGTTTTGTCTTTACCTCCGTGCATTCTCTCTAAAACGAGCGGCAAAATCATTCTATGGATATACTGGTTGAGTTAATTAACTTAACGGACA